ATACACATTTGATAATAACATTTTTAAACGAAACAGGTCGGCGGAAACAACATGTTCAAAATGTTATGGGACACGAACTTTACGTACGACTCATCGATGCCGATATACGAAAATCGACCACCAAGTTGGCCGTATACCTTGGACTATAAACTGTTCCACGACTGTATGATTCCTCCCTGTCCTACGAGATCTTATCCAGGCTTGTGGGAAGTTCCTATGGTGATGTGGCAGGATTTGAACGGAGGTAGATGTTCGATGGGAGACGCGTGTAGCAACCCGCCGACTGCGGATGGTGTTTACAAGATGCTGATCAAGAATTTCGAAAGACATTACACGACGAACAGGTCTGTCTCGCATGATTCTTCAGATGGAATTTCCTGCAAGCGATAAGAAATTTCCTGAAATAACGATGTAATACACTTTCGATCGAAAGATAAAGTTAAAAATCGCGTTAACTCATTAATACAGGAACATGCCAATCGAGCGTTGAAATTCCTCCAACTGCAAGGAATTACTTTTTTTCAGAGCGCCATTTGGGTTGTTCTATCACGCTGCCTGGTTCACACAGCCTCATCACAAGGAGGGCTTCATCTCGTTCCTAGATACCATAGTCGCGATGGACGACGTGTGGATCGTAACGAACTGGCAGGCAATTCAGTGGGTCAGAAATCCTACGCCGTTGCCGCTGTTACACACGTTTGAACCCTTTGGATGTAACTACCCGGTATATAGAAATTTTGTCCCATTATTCAGCCCTCAAATTATACGATTGCATTGCAATTAATTCACGATAGTTTCTGTTCTTTAATTTATTTAATCTAAGACACATTCTTGGACTTTCTGATATAAATTACATTGAAATTAAAATTAAGTTCACCTGATTCAAATATATAACTGTCGAAGAAGTTTTGAGAGAAGAGAGAGAAAAAAAAAAGTACGCGTGCAAATGACCAATTTAATATGTTTCACACGCGCCATAGGACCGGCCGAAGAAATGTAACAACCCAAAGGTCTGCAATCTGTGGCACAAAAGCGGGGTGAGGTACATGAAGACGTGTCAGGCGTGTCCAGACATCTATCCATGGACGGGCAAAACCGGGATACGAAGCAGTCGCATCGACAACGACGTCGACGCGCACGAATGAACGAAAAAGAGGGATTCCGTGCGATCGAAGCCCACCCAGCCGAAGAAGAGTAGCAGCGCCAACGGAGGAGACGAGACGTTTTTTTTTTTTACACCGATTCGACTCAAATCCCGTCCTTCATTTCTCCACTAGCCACGTCCCACGAAACTCATCCAGGTCGAGTACGCCAACGAAATCGACTCGAAATCATACCAGCACCACCACCATCGCCATCTTCTTCCTTCTCCTTCCTCCATCCGAGCATCACAACGGGTGAGTCCTCGACAACGTATTTAACAGAGTAACAATGTCGTTTGACTCATGTTGATGCTCGTTTTCCCGAAACGAGCCACTCTGCACGACGCGGTGAACGAACGCACGATGGCCGAACAGTTTCGGAGCCTCTGCAATTCCGATTGAGCAAAAGACAAACAAAAATTGTCTAATCTAGCTACGTTACACAGCGTAGTAATACCTATCGTATATTATATTAATATACGTTGGTTGTAAATTTGCTTCTAAATAATTTCTCATAGTATAATAGTTTCGTTTGACGAGTAGTGAGATCGGTATAAGTGTGTCTACGATCGCAAGGTCCTTTGACTAAGCAAGCAATCAACGCATCGGACATTCGTAATTCATACGATTAACCAGCCGTGGTTGTACGTATATCAAATAGAAGATACATGGTCGTGCCGGAGAATTGGAATCGTGGTACTCGAAAGAAAGATCGGTCGATATTTTGCGCTCGAGTCAAGGCATCGACCGATTAATCACCGTCTAATCTTTGTCTCCGCGTTGTCCTTCCTATCATTTCCTTGCCCTTCGTCTTCTGTCTTCGCCTTCGTTCTCCCTCCCCTTCGCTGATTCTTTCCCACTCGTTTAGACTCTTCGAAGCTTGTATCCTTGGCGTACTCGGCCAAATCCGATAGATAAATTAATTAATTAATTACAAGGTATCAAAGCGCACGTCGTGGGCGTGCAAACGCAGACAAAAAAAACTGGAATCGTCGTCGGTCGCCAATCGAGGTTTTTCCTAGAAATCGATCTGGAGGTTCAGCACGCGCGGAAGTCGCCTTGCGGACGAAAGAGACGAACCGAGAGAACCGAGCGTTCACCGTGAACGAAGTTGTACGCGCGCACGAGGGGATCGTCGTGTATACCATTTTAGAACCTGAAACTGTAATAATACGCCTTTAATCAATAAACGTTTCGCTACAATTCCTACATCCGCGTTGTGTGATTTCGCATTGCTTACCAAGAAATTCATTCATTCATCGAACTGATTAAAAATTAGAATGCGGGGGTGGGAGAGGGTACAGTATGGTTGACCAAGCGTTCACGCTCAACGAGTGGATCTCCTGCCATTCGATTCCGAGCGCGACGCCAACGTTCTCCACCCAATATTCCGCCATATTGTTATGCTTACTCTCCTCCCAAGTCTACGACGTACCGTGGGAAGAATCCAGAAAATAAGTTCATAATTAATTTAAAGATCTCTGAAGAGAACTAGTTGCAAAACGTCGGAAATGATTTCAAGATTTTTGTTTTAATATAACCGATAAATCGTTAGTCACCCTCTTGTTCTGCTCCAGCAAAGCCAGGACCAGTTTGTTCCCCTGGGCCGTAGCGAATTTACGCGACTTTTTAAAGTTCAATCGAGAGGATAACTTCCGACCGTACACAACCTCCATGTAAGATTGTAACAAGTACAAGAACGGTTTGACAAATGGCGCGTAACTGGACGCTCTGCGAAGAGACCTTATGATCGTTTTAACGTTGCTCGATCGATTGAACAAATCGTTCGTTCGTCGAATGTTAATTCCACGATGTATTATTAATAGGTAACACTCGAGGATCTGCAACGAGTTATTATTATTTTATATACAAAGAGTCGGGAAACTAGTCAGTGTGAATCACTTGCGAGACGTGATTTACACTAAATTATATAATGGCATATTTTTCTAATTAATCCATCCTACCTTCACACAGTTGTAAATTCTCGCGAAACTATCGTACGTGACGTCAGCTAAATACTCGTCGATGTCTCGCACGAGCTTGTCAGTGACTTTTACGTTCCTGAAAGAATCCACGCGACGAAGAGTGAACATCGTGATAGATCGAGTTCACTCGAGATACTCACATTCTCAGTTGCCAAGTGAGCAGACAGTTTTTCAAACGCAGTATACTCTCTGGATCGCGGAGGGCGTGAGTGCGCGATCTGTAAGCTGAGAACATCAAAGAGCAACTTGGATGTGATTCGTGGTGACGAAGAAATTCTCACTTCTGGCGTAGAAATCGTGGCAAGCCTCGTATGTTTCTAATATCATTGCAGCATCCAGCAACAGTTCCATGCAAAGAGCGTAGTACCACGTGATAGCAGTATTATCTACGTCCGTTTTGGAGAGATAATACAACTCGTACAGCAAATCGACAGCTTCGTTTATCTTCTTCGTCCAAACCTGAGATAATATCCCCGCGGTCAACACGTTCCGTGGCAAGCGATTTTTGCCTTTTGTTGTCGTTCAGGCCATTTGTATTACATCATCAATCGATAAGTAGTTCTCTTGTTTAGAGTAGCTATCACATCGTTAAATCATCAGCAATCGATAATAAGTAGTTCTCTTGTTTAGAGTAGCTATCACATCGTCTACCACTTGTGATAGCTAATATTATTAGAAATATGGTGGTATTAGAAAT